AATTTGCATAATACCTCACAATAGTTCACTGAAAAATGATGCACAGTGTAGGAAGCAATATATCATTTAAATTACTTGTAAGTAAAGCCATTCACCTTCACCAGACCTGTGTTTTATTAGAATAATTTTGCTCATAAAATAGTATTTTCTTTAAGAATACTTGTATGTACACTTTTGTATTTGTTTTCAAAAGATGAGTGGGGGGAAAGGAAAAAATAACTTTAAATTCCTTATCCTTTGGTGTTTGTTCTCCTACACAACATAGAGGCAGTATTTGTGTGATGATCTGGATTCAAATCCCGGCCTTGCAACTCTAGCTGTACAAACTTGAGCAGGTTATCTAAACTCTCTGAACATCAGTTTGCCACCTGTGAGATAATTATCTCAATATTTTGATCATAAATTGCATTGAGAATTTAGCTCATTTATGCTAGTACTAGACACCTATTAAAGGCTCAATAAATGTTGGCTATTATTATTAACCTTTAGGAAAGGGGCTAAATGCTTTGGTTCCTTTTGAAATTTTTATGAAAATTATGAATGCTCCCTTAGAAAAAATTACTTGTATACAGGACATTTTGCATGTATTTTCAGAGTCTCAGCACTCCCATGAGGCTTTTTCATGATTAAGAGCAGATAAGAGGGGGTACAAGAATAAGGACAGTTGATATTTTTGAAAAAATTGGTAAATTGGATAATGGGAGGATATGGAATTTTCTTTTGTTTGCATCTATTTTCTCATTGAAGTAAGAAGCAAAGCCATTGGTTGAGAATGAGGAGGGTAGAAGTATTGGAAGCTTAAGAGGGAAGTTGTGAATTAATTCTCTGGGAGAGTGAAAAAATGAATTGCTTGGAGGAAATGTAATAGGATTTCCAGGTAACACTGGGACCCACTTGAGGCTTATGATTGCAAATTGAATTAGACCTGGCAAGTGCTTGAGCACAAACGCAGAGCAGGATACCTGAGTGTACCTGGTTTGGGTATTACCGGATGAGCCCCACGGAAAGAGAGGCAAGGAAATTGCTGTGTGTGCTACTGTTTCTCATGTGACTTTGTCCCTGTCCCAGCCTCTGGAGAATCATGGGCCGGGCTGGGATGTGGCAGGAGACTCACCATGGGAGAGGCAGGTGTTCCCTCCCCTCCCTTCACCTCCCCAGCCCCTCTTCCTTATCAGGAGCTACAGGACTCACATCTTCTTTTCTGTTGCCCTGTTGGGACGAGGTACCTTCTGAGACGGGGCAGAGAGGGAATCTGTCCTCTAGACACCCCTGCCTCCTTCCACCGCTTACTACCTTAGGACACTGAATTGATTCTGCCGAGTCCATCTCAGGGAGCTGCACTTCTGATAGTAGAGTGTTCTGTTGGATTATTGAAGCATTCTTTGACAATCAAGGTATTTATGCATTTAATAAAGAATTCTCCAAGAAAATTGTACTTTGTGCATAAAAAGTCACATTCATGATGAATTTATGGGGGGAAATATGTGCCTTATTTCCCTTGCCTTAAAGGCAGGAACATTTTTAAAAAAATGAATTTAAGGGGTGTAAGTTTCCTTGCTCTTTTTGAAAACATCTACTAGACTTTCCTACATATATGCCTTCACTCGTAGCATTTCATTTTCTCCGTCAACTTAATTCTGCTAAGCCCTTGAGAACAGGAGTTGCTAGCAATTTCCTTCCCATTACACCCAGAATCTGCATTGTGATGAAACATGACCAGGGAAGCCACAGACAAGAAGAAAGGCCAGTGATTCCTGCCTCCTCTGCCTCCACAGGGTCTGGGGTTCTCCTTGCATGACTGGGTTCCAGGATTTCTTTCACTTATATATAGACCTCTGTTTTTCAAGCAAAAGCTATTTTACCAGCTGGTGTGAGATCCAGGCCAGACCTTACTCGGGCAGGAAGTTAGTAAGAGTACGTACTCTTTTCTGCTCTTTACTGTACAGAGGCAGCAAGAGGTAACAGTGGGAAAACATACGTTTTCAAAGTCAACCAGATCCAAGCTGGAGTACTGAGGCATTGCAAGTTGCAGTAATTTTTCTGAGACTTAAATACAATGGAAGCTTTGAGTTTCTCTTCTTTTGTTTTCTCTCTTCCTTTTCCAGGGTGTTCTATCTATATATGGCAAAAAAAAAAAAAAAGAAAAAAAAAAAGAAGCTGGTTTCAACTATAAGGGTTTTACTGGTTTTTGAAACTGGGAGCCCTAGGTAGGGTGGCTTCTGAATGACATAGAGTCTGTGGTCCTTGCTCCCTATATTTGTATTTCTTTTTTTTTAATATTTGTATTTCTTTAGCTCTTCTGTCCTTAGTGGATTTACTTCATTCCCAGGTTGGCAGCTGTTCTGGGCCTTGCATCACAAAGAAGAATTTTTGGGGAATGTCATAAATGCCTCCCAGAAGGTGGAGAAGAACTTGTGCAGAAGCCCCCGGGAACCTCTCCCTGGGCTCAGTGGGTCATGTGACAATTTACCGACTCCTGGAAAGGAGGGTGGGGCTCTCATAGACGGTTAAGACCTGCCTTAAGAACTGAGGACGAGGTCGGCTTTCTCTGAGGCTGCATAGGGAAAGAGACGTGGGAAGAAATTGAGATTTTGTTAGGAAAGAGGAAGGAGGGAATGGATTCAGGGCAGACGGCCAATAATCCGATCTGTCCAGAGCTGGTGCGCCACTCTCCTATCTCCTCTCCTTACCTAGAGATAAGCTCCCCAGAGTCCCCTCTGCCGTTCAGAGGAGCATTTCCCGGGAAGTCCCTTCCTCTGCACATATCCTGCCCCGCATCTCGGACTCTCTGCCTTCTTCCTTTGCCACTTTTTTTTTTTTAAAGCAAAGTATCTTTTTACTGATATGTTTTATACATTCATATGCCCAAAGCTGTACATTTCCATTTAATTCCCAATTCCCCTTCCCACAACATGCACCAATTGGATACAAACTCTGGGAAACATAAAATGTACCAAACATATAACATTTCAAAAGAATGCATTAAAATATTTTTAAGAATTGTTTATTTAAAAGGTGAAAAAATATAAACAAGGAACTGATTCACTCCCTTACTTCAAGCACCCATCAACTAAATGGAAAAGAAAGTTTAAATCAAGAACAAACTACCACTGCAAGTTTTTGTAGGTCCATTTTCTCTGTATATACAAAGTCCTTAACTACTGAAGGAAAAATAGAGTACAATCTATGGTGTCAGCTGATTTAAAGGGGAGAAACAAAGCTGTCATTAGATGAATATTACATTTTTATACCCATATTTGAGGTGCTTTAAGAAATGTCATCAGTGATTTTGAACTGCTAAATTCACCTCTCCCCTCTGTCTGTGATTTTCACTCATTCCTGAAATATGATGTTCCATTAGCAATTGACCCAAACCTGTCCTACTCCTCTTATTTTATACTAAACCCACTAAATGCAGTACTTCTGCTTTGTCACTCATTCTTTCTTTGTGCTTTTGGTGGCCTGGCTGTTCTGAACAGGGTATTTCATTTTCTTTAATTAACCCTCTCTTTGGCCCCCTCCCCAGCTGAGGTTTCCGGGTTCCCATCCTCTATTCCTGTGCTCTGCCTAGCCAACCGTCTCTCCCAGGAACTCCATCAGGTCTTTTTTTGTTACTGACTTTGATATCAGCTTTGGAAAATCTAAAACCCAACTGTGTTTGATTAATTTCCATCCACTATATACCAAATTGTTTCAATTTCCATTTTATTTTCATTGTCATCATCCAGGGGCATGAACTGAGTAGAGGAGAAAATGTAAGGATAGCAGCCTGGTCCTGTTTAGCACCAGCTGCTGTTGAGAGGGACAGTTAATGATTTTTTTAATGCAACAAGAATGTGAAGGGCAGCTGTCATGACTTGCAGGTGGGAGCCTGAGGCTCCACAGCCCCCGTCTGCAGCAGGATGAAAGCGTCTGCCTGCTCTGTTCTGGGGAATTGCTGCCACTGAGAAAAAGGGAAAGTATTATTCCCTTGTAATCACATCTTCACCAATGAATAATTTCAGAGAATTCTAAAGCACAGTCACAATTTTTCAAAAACACAAATTAAAAACTGATTTACAGCAAGGTTGTTTGTCACTCCTGACAGCAACTATATGTCAATCTGTCAAACTCTTTCTCTCCAGGAAGGAATATGGGCTGCGATGAATGAAGAGGGTGAAGTGGGCTCCTTTCCTGTATTTTCTTCCTGAGACAATACTTTTCTTGTTCCTCTGAGGGAAGAGTGGCACTAACTTGGCCCTTACAGATGCAAATTTTAAGACCTTTTATGTATGTTCAAGACTCTTACAAAAGGGTCAAGGATCCAGGTGACATCATTATCATATTAGCCAACTTTAACTGAGTACATACTATGTGCCAAGTATTAAAATATAGTGGCTTATTTAGTTTTTACAAATTGTTATGAACTTAAGTGCTATGATTAATTACCCGTTGAAGCTACAGCCCACAGAGATTAAGTAATTTATCCAAGCTAACCAAGGTGTTAAACAGTAGAGCTGGATTCAGATTTGACATTCTGTCTTTAAAGCTCTTGCTCTTAACCATTTTCACCTTAGCTGGAAGTCTGTTTGCCCCCCTTTTTCAACACATTCCTTGCATGCCAGCACAGAGTGTGACTTCTCTTACTTTGACGGCTGCCCCTTGGTTGTCTCTTTCCTTGGCTTATTTTCTCTCTCTCTGCTTCTCATGATTTCAGTGCCCTTCCCTTGTGCAGGGAAGTTCATGCCAGGAAGAAGAGGCCTGGCCTTGGGGTCTGGGCCTGAGGGAAGGACTGGCCAGGGCTCATCTGATAGATGGATATGGGACTGGATGAATTCCGTGAGTAATAAGTGAGTCCAGGTGGTTGGGAAGATCCCAAGGGCCTAGAGTTCCATGTGAAATGATGCTAGGAGGAGGCCCCTGATTTAAAATTGAATGAGACTTTCATGGCTGCCTGTGATGGGATGCTATGTTTGTCTAACAAGCCCTGTCTAACAAGACTCTTATGTTCCCACAGTCTTCGGCTGTAGGAGATCTGAGGCAGAAGACTGTGAGAGCAGAGGTTTCAGAGGCAGAGGGCACCTGACCTAAATGCATCCTGACAGCAAACACTGTCTCACCTCCTCACAGGTGCACCTGTGTAGAGCAGCGAGGAGGGGGTAAGTGCTGGGGGAAGGCTGTGGGAGGAGGTTAGAGATTTGCTGCTGCACGTTTTTATATTCTGGTGAAAATATACAATTACATAGTGTGCTGATTTAAATTCATTTTAGCATCACAGGTAAAATTCTCAGAAGTAAGATTATCAACTTGCTTGTTCATTAAAAATTAAGCAAGCTGTGGCTGAAACTTGCGGGTTCTCTCTCACTAACTCAGTGCGTGCGTGCCCTGCTGGTGTGAGTGACACCTGTCTCCCCTCTGGCCTCTGCCCCACCGGCTCACAGCCGTCATCCATTCTCAAGGGAAAGCTGTGAATGAGAAGGTCGTCCCTTGGAAGCCCGGGACTGATAGTCTGTCCCTTTTGGTCCTAATTCTGAAAAACATCCACGAGTAAACCAAGCCTGCCTTTTTGCCGGTGAAACCAATGTGAATCTCATGTTTTCATTTTGGTTTTTCACCTTACGGAGCCTCAGTTTCCTTATCAATAAATGGAGAAACTAGATTCAGTTTCCTCACAGCTCTAATCTCCTACGGCATCTGCGATCTGACTATTCTGGGTGGAGGACAAACAGAGACCACCAGTGAGTGGAGCACCTCATTTTAAGCAGCAAATGAGTTTCTGAGAAAACATACATGCAGTAAATTAAATTTTAAACATGCCAAAAAATGGTTTTTGAAGGCAATTTTTAGTGACCTTCTTTGGAAAGTTCTTTTCTCCAGCTTTACCTAATTTGATGTGTTTTGATAGCTTGACTTAAACACCTGTTGTTTTCTGTCTATAAAATATGTGCTTGTTTTGCCATGTGCTAGTTAAATGATAGACGTGCCAGTGAAATCCTCAGTCTCCGTGGTGCTGTGTGGAAATCATCTGAAGAGAGTTAAATGTATAGTACTTGCCTCTGGGACAGTGTGTGATGCAGCCACTGAGTGTATAAATAAACAAAGGACAAAAACCAAGTTAAATTACAATATTTTAATTGAGTGCTAGGAACAGTAAATATATCAAGTGATATATGGGGTGAATTTTTGTGCAGTGGAAGGAAGAAGCCATCATCATCTCCTACAGTAAATTAAAGAGCACAGCTTGAAGGGCATCAGAATTTATAAACCACAAGGGGAAGGGGAGCAGCCACATCAGCTGTGGGAGAAAAAGGCTCAGGCATTTGGTGAAATCTGGAAGACATATGCGGGCTTTGCTCATTTGGAAGAAGATCCAGTTTTCTTTTCTGTAGTAGGTGGAATAATGGCCCTGCAAATGCTCATGCCTAATCCCCACAGAACCTGTGAGTGTGTTGCTACCTTTTGGCCAAAGGGACTTTTGCAGCTGTGATTAAAGTTAAGGACCTGAAACGGGAAGGTGGGCCAGCCTAATCACATGAATCCTTAAAATCAGAGAACCTTTTCTAGAGGTGTGTTCACAGAAAATGGGTCAGAAATGGGACGTTGCTGGGTTTGAAAATGGAGGAAGGGTCTGTGAGCCACGGGATGCTGGCAACTTCTAGAAGGAATGAAACAGATTCTTTACTAGAGCTTCCAGAAAGGAATACAGTTCTGCCAACACAGGGATTTAAGCTGACGAGACCTGTACTGGAGTTGTGATCTGCTGAACTGTGAGATCGTAAACTTATGTTGTTTTAAGCAATTAAATTTTGTGGTAATTTGCTACAACAGCAATAGAAAAGTAAAACACTTAAATTTATACTTACATAAATAAAAACCCTGACATCTCAATGTCAAATGACTTTCCAAAAAAAAAACCAAATCAAAATTTCACCCTCAAAATCCCTTATGTTATGCTCCAACAAGAAAGTGTTTACATCCTGCCATGTTGGAACTAGATCAAAATAACAAGTGGGTGCTTCTTCGGTTTCTTTGACCACCTATGGTCTTCGCTCAGTGCATACAGGCTGACCTTTAGTTTTTTTGCCCTTTCCTTAGAACACGAAGCTGTCTTTTGGGGATGGTGTTTCTCTGACTTTCGTCATTAACTTGCCCTAAAATCCCTTCAATTTGTACCTTGCCATTTGAATTATTTTTGCTAACTGTTGCAAGATATTAATGGAGAATACAACATTCTGATCTTTTCCTTGAGAATTCCTGCTTTAATTTACGCTTATTATTTTTAAATGTATTTTGAATGACCTCAGTTTGCTGAGCCTTTGTTCTTGCTCTTTCTGACCACATACTCTTGGCTTTGAATATTGAATATTGTATCTGTCTCAGTTGAGAACATTTTGTGTGATTTCATGTGTAAATAACTAGTCATTATAGGGAATCCCAGGTATAGAGGCCTCCAGGCAAGTATTTTCTCCAGCTTTCTTCCAGGTCTACCACTACAGGGAATTTGTGCAAACCCATGTTACCCCTCCCTCTTGATGTAAAACAGGAAAGAGAGCAAACTGCTTGTCCTAACCCAGCTTGCCATATCAACTGAATGCTAGGAGCACGGAAAACATCCATAGGCCATAGAATTCCATTTCTGTGATATACACAGACCATCCAGTTCAGTCACAGCTATTTTATATGGTCTGAATATTTGTGTCTCCTACCCACCAAATACATATGTTGAAATTTTAATGCACAGTGTGATGGTATTAGGTGAGGCCTTTGGGAGGTGATTAGGTCTTGAGGACTGAGCCCTCATGAACAGGATTAGTGCATTTATAAAAGAACCTCCATAGAGCTCCCTAGCCTTTTCTACCACGTGAGAACACAGTGGGAAGTCTGTGACCTAGAAGGGAACCCTCACCCAACCATGTTGCCATCCTGATCAGGGATTTCCAGCATCCAGAACTGTGAGAAGTAAATTCCTATTGTTTTATAAGCCACCTAGTCTATGGTATTTTGTTATAGCAGCCTGAATGGACTAAGACATCGTCTCAAACTATCTCAGTTTTAAAAAGTGATAAGGTTACAGAGACATCTTACAGAAGTCCTGAAAATGCTGAACCTTTTCCTGTCCTTGGAAACACGTCTTTGGAAAGAGCAGGCACTGTGGTAGCAGCAGGGAGCTCAGCTATCAGCCCCTGGGCTTTCTGCTATTTCCTCTCTCAGCGGCTTCCTCTTTGTCTTGCAACAGTCTGAGACTCTTAGCATCCCAGTGCAAATTTCTAGAAGACTGTGATTTCCTCCATCCCCACCCAGACCCCGTGGTCCGTGGGAAGTGTGGAATAAGTGTGGCCATCTAGGGCTGGCCCGTTATCGGGGGCCATGGTTGGGAACAGCTCCTGGAGAAGGTGCTTCTGTTGAGCAGGACACATCTGGCTCACCGATTCACATGACCCACTCCTACTGTTCTCTTTGTACCTTGGCCCATATTTTAGTGTTTTGCCCCTCAATTGGCATATCATTTTTTTCTTTGTTATCCTACTTTAACTCTATCACCCTTTTCAGGATACAACTTCAGATTTTCTCTGTAGCAATTTGTGACCACAATCAAGAGACATCTGGCCTATGTTTCACCTTGGATCATATGTACGAACAGACTGGCTGGCCCTATTTTTGTCCTTAATACCACCAGAACTATAAGGAGCAGGTGACATTTGATTCCTTTGTTTCTTCTAGTAACAGCTCCTCCATTCTATAGGTTATGACCTATTTTGCATCATAAATTGATTTTATTCACTGCTATGTCATGAAGGTAAGCCATAAAGGAACAGGAAACAAAGTAGTGTGACCATCTTAGAGGTTACGGCAGTGATCCAGAGGAGAGGATTTAAATAATCTGTGTGTAATTCCTAAATTTATGACTCCAGCCCAAACATTTCCTTTCAACCCCAGAATCATGTAAATAACTTCCTCAACATCTCAACTTGGGCATTTGCAGGGCATCTTGAACTCTTTACTCCACTTTTTGAGCACAGCTTGATATTTTAGTGAACTTTAAATATTCTCTGTCTTTAGATTATACTGGGACCCTCTCTAAATTTCTTAGACTTTTAGTGATATAATCTCACTGGCTAGGGTTTTACTTTAGCTATTATATGTCAGATTTGGTTCATCCAAGAAATGCTGTTAGAGAGCTTTATTAAAAGTTTCTCATCCAAGGCTCTCCTATAACTAGTCTTCTGAAAGTGTGCTCATGTAGAAGTAATATAATTGATGACATGATGTAGTTAATACCTTCACCAGCTGATTCTGGTAAAATATAAATCTCTTCATTGTGACTGTTGGGGTTGGTAATAGATATTTGATAATCTCATTGTGGGGAAGTAGGGGTTCCTACGGCCAGGATCCTCACTGAACTTAAATCACCTGCTGATGTAATTGGCCTGTTGCTGGGCTACCGCTTCCACACCTTTGTGCAACAAGCTATTATTGCACTATATAGAGAGCTTGGCCCAGTGCTCTGGGTAGAGGCAGAGATGTTAGTGCTCGACCTACTACCGGGAGAACAAGCTGGGTAATAAACCCTTTCACCCCAAAGAATGTTTTACTGTCAATTTCTTTGGTCACATTGAATCCATAGCAAACTTGCCAGGGCTGAAACCCATTGGCCAGACAATTGGCATAGTAGGCAGGGTTCATTGTTGACCAAGGAAAAAGACAGGTGGCCCTTATGGGAGGGGTGCTTCAGCAGGCTGCCCCTGTGAATGGGGAGACAGTGGACTGTCCCCCAATGGGTTTGTGTCTGAGGTGGCTTGCCTCCTAGAGGATTGAGCTCCACCCCAGGACTGGAGGCAAGTGGAGGTGACACCTGAGGCAGAAAGGGTGGCCCTTGGTATAGTAAGTAGGTCTTTTGAGAGACACAGTGCCCGTGAGGCAGCGGGAACTGTGGGTTGACTGCTTCTCACAGTATTAAGAAAGTCTACAGAAGAGAAGGACGTTCTCCTGAAAAAGACACAAGAAATGGCAGCACCAGAATATGAGCTGCAAACTCCTGTGGATTCACTGAAGAAGGAAATGGCATTGATGTGAGAGGAGACAGCATGAGAATGCCAGCAGCAAGGTGCCATTGAAGAGGTAAAAGATTCCTTACAGAATGAGACAGCAGTGCTACCAGGTGCTCTGAAGGAGGAAAAGGCCATCAAGGAAAAAGACAAACTCCTGAGGGAAGCACAGGAGGAGGTGGCACGAGAATGTCAGCTGTGAAGCATTGAGGTGAAGGTCAGAGAGCTGCTGAAGACTGAGCTGGCATTGCTGCAAGGCACTGAAGAAAAGGTAAAGGTTATAGCAGAGGAGGCACTTGGGGGAGTGGAAAGGTGCCATCAGCCCCAGAAATGGAGGAACTGGGGAAGGATGAGGGGGTGGTGCCAGAGTCACTGAACCCTCCTGTATTGACAGCACACCCACTGGTTGTAAAGAAAATAAAGACCCAGCAGCTGAAAGTTCCCCCAGGAGAGGAGCAGCCCCCTCCCAGGTCATGGAGCACTCTATGCTCTGCCCCTCTACTCAGGCTGAGCTGGTGGATTTGGGCTCCCGGTTTAGGCAGAAGCTCTTGGAGTCAATATCAGCTTGGCTCCTGGTCTGTGGGACTTAGGGGTGGATGGAATTGTTCTGTCTGGGTCAGAGATGGGAAAGTTGGCTTCCCTGACAGTGCAGCCCACCTTAAGGTAGCAATTACAAAATGCACATCATACCCAGGGAGTCACTCCCTCCTCGATTGGCTTATGGCTGCACTTCATGCTGTGTGGCCCAATCTGGGTGATTTACCATCCTCTCCTGGTAGATGGCAGACAAAGGCTGAGCTCCAACAGGTGTTATGAGAGCCACCTATAGTCCAGAGAATCATGGCCCAGATGAAGAGCCTTTCACTACTGGGATGAGAAATATTGTGCTTCAAACAGTTCCCACATCGCTGTTTGGGTCTCTAGTGGCCATTCTTGCCCGTCACTTAGGACAGAACATAAGTGAGGTGACACGTACAGTAGCAGACTTAGGAGAGGGTGAAGCAATGACAACACAGAAAGAAAGAAGGTCTGCTACTCTCAAGAAGAATTTAAAAGGCCTCACGATGGTTATGAGGATGCAAATGTGGATTGATTTAATAGGGGCAGGAGCAGACACAAGGAAATTAGATGTACAGTAGCAGACTTAGGAGAGGCTGAAGCAATGACTACATGGAAAGAAATAAGGTCTGCTACTCACAAGAAGAATTTAAAGGGCCTCACGAAAGCTGTGAGGACACAGATGTGGGTTGATTTAATATGGGCAGGAGCAGATGGAAGCAAATTAGATGGGAAGTCACATAGGATCTTACTAGAGCTATGGAAACAGCTGAAACTAGAGCAGAAGTTCCAATCATTAAGACCAAAGATGCAGAGGTCAGAGACAGAGCCACGAGTCCGGCCTGTGTGTTTGCAAGACTTCCTGCTGGAGAGAGAGCCAACCTCACTTGAGCCCACACAGGAAGGTGATTGGGGAACATGGTTTCACTGAGGGGAAGGTTGAAGTATATGTCCTGAGGGACCAGGGGGGCCTGGAGGCCACATGTTGAAACAGCTATCCACTGGACCCCAGTAAACATACAACATGTCCTGGCTCTGGTGGACACAGGGGCTGAATGTTCACTGATTCATGGTAACCCTGAGCAGTTCCCCAGGACCCCCACTATCATAGATGGATATGGGGGTAAGGCTATCAGAGTGAAAAAAACCCAAATCCCTTTGGGAATAGGGCATCTACCCCCAAAAGAGTATACCATATACATATATCCTATCCCTGAGTATATTTTGGGGATTGATATCCTGCAGGGTCTGTGGTTGCAGACCACTGCAGGTGAGTTCAGACCGAAAGTATGTGTGGTGAAGGCAGTTCTGAGGGGCCATGCTAGGCACCCGCCCATAGCTTTGCCTGTGTCTCAGCAGGTGACTAAAACCAAACAATACAAACTTCCTGGGTGGCATAAAGTGATTGGAGAAACTCTCCAGGAGCTGGAAAGGTGGGTATTATAAAGCCCACCCATAGTCCTTTCAATTCCCCAGTGTGGCCAGTAAAAAAGCCAGATGGCTCCTGGCGTGTAACTGTGGATTACAGAGAACTGAATAAAGTCATACCCCCTGTGCATGCTGCTGTCCCCTCTATTGCAGGCTTGATGGATACCCTCAGCCATGAGTTAGGAACATACCATCATGTGGTAGATCTTGCTAATGCTTTCTTTTCTATTGACAAACCAAGGAAGAATCACTGAAGCCAAGGTTTGGTCACCGGAATATTTTGCTGCCAGCTCCAACTGCAGTGAACCCCAGAGACTCCATTGACTGGACATGGCCTTGGACCTTTCAACACATGGACCAACAATGGCTGGCTCTCCTGGCACCTTCGGGACAAGCCTCCTGTGTATTCCTGGAATAATAGCAGAGAGGCCGCAAAAGGTCACAGTACTATATCCTGAACGTCCAGAAAGTAGGAGCATCTTACTGGTGAGTTTTGTTTTATCATTACGGCCAGTGCATACACCTCCAGTAACACTATATATATAGACCCTTCAGTAACCCCCATAGGGAAAGGAGTAAAAGTATAATATACTAGACCTGGTAGGGACCCCCTTCCTGCTGCAGTCCTATCATAGGACCACTCTCTTGCATGCATTCTACCTGATGGACAAGATTTGCCTATCTTGGTGTCATTAAAACATGTGTTTTATCGCCCCTAAAGTCTTTGTGGATTGAGAATTTCCTCTGGTTTGAGGATTATAATTTTTGTTATTAGGAACCTCCTCTGGCTTGAGGATTGGTATAATTTTTGTTACCTGTATCAAAATCTTGTTGTATCTTAATTTTTGTTATTATCTCTAAATTGTTATCCTCTGTTGCTATTGTGGAATCTGGTTACACTGCTCCAGCTTTCTCGCACAGGGACCATTGTGGAGGATTGAAAGTGTGTAGATTGTAAGGTGAAAATCCTGAAGGGGTGTAGTGTGCGTAATTTGGGGTTCCTATGGCCAGGATCCTCACTGAACTTAAACACCACTTTATGATGTAACTGGCCTGTTGCTAAGCTACTGCTTCCACACCTTTAGGCAATAAGCTATTATTGAGCTATATAGAGAGCTTGGCCCAGTGCTCTGGGTGGAAGCAGAGATGCTAGTGCTCAACCTACTGCCGGGAGAACAAGCTAGGTAATATACCCTTTCAACCTAAAGAACGTTTGCTCTCAATTTCTTTGGCCACATTGAATCCATAGCGAACTTGCCCGGAGCTGAAACCCATTGGCAAGACACTCGTCAAATGTCCAGATCTAGATCTGCACTCAATTTTCCTCTCTTATTTATATACTTTAATATTGAATGAAGTATTTTCATCATGTGAATCCCAGGAGGCAGCATGATTGGTAAGAAGTATTTTTTAAAAATTAATTTGATAACTTTTCTTCATTATAGATGCACCATCCTGTTCATATTTGAATTTCACAAGGCTTAAGTTTAAGATAGATTTCAAAATATGATTCCCAGGAGGCACCCTATTTGCCAATGTTGTGGGGGAGAATCCACATATTCCAGGATTCAAATTCCAGTTCTGTCACTTACCAGTGTGGGCACTTAGGCAAGTTGTTTAATTTCTCTAAGGATCAGTTTCCTCTTCTGTATTAAGGAGAGAATAACTGCTCTTGCAGTGAGGATTAAATCAGTTGGAGTATGTAATAGGCTAGCACACTGTCTGGCACTTGGTTCTTTCCCTTCTTTTTCTACACCTTTGTTTTCTGTGCAAGTCCTTTTATACTGAATTCGTCAAATTTTCATGTGGAGTTTCTTAGAAGATATTTGAAAGTAGGTATCTACTGCCTGCTGTTCAGCACTCCTCTTTTTAAATAGTATCCCAATATTTTTGCCAAATAATAATTAATACACATTTAAGATACCTTGAGTAGAGGGGCTCCAGATTAAATCTAAATTATTTCCCCCTAGGATTCAAGGGGGTTTTGATGGAGCTTTACTTTATCAAACCGAAGACCTCATAGGAAAGAATTCAATCTATGAGCCGGAGAGATGGGGGTAAAGTCTGGTTTCAGGTCGGGGGGCTAGGGCTCCAAGGGGCCAGGAACAAGCTGTGTATGGAGCTGTGCACCCGGAGCTTGGTTTCAGTCAGGGAAGAATTTAGTCACTGCATTTTTTTTAAAAGTTTTTTTTATTAGAAGGAGGGTTTCACATGTCAGAAAAGTTTGAATACTACTTCCCTTTGGTATATAATCTTGGCTCCTGAAGATAATGTAACTCACAGTCAGAATGAATAATCCTTATGCTAATATCATGCTTCTCTCCTCACATGCCTAATGTTTGACAGGATGTAAGACATTTCTTATCTAACATTTGGTAGGATTCTTGTTTCTGTTTAAATTTATAGGTCATGACTGATGTTTTTCAACCAATTAATATGCACACATGACCTTGAAGATAGTTGAGTTCCTGTCCATACTTACATACTTATATGTATTTTTAAAGGGATCATTAATATGCAATCTTATGAAGGTTTCACATAAGCAACACAAACTTACATGTTTTATGATTAACCAATGATATTTACTTTTTCATTAGACACTGTTGCTGCGTTAAAATGACTTTCTTGCATGTGCGACAGTTTGTGTTTATTTTCATTTTCCATTATTACTTCTGAGAAAGCATTCTTTTGATGTAATATCTCTACTTATTGTGAAACCATTTCTTTGCTTCTTAACAGTTGCCTGGGTTAAAATATCCTACTGCTTTAGATATCTATTAGAAATATACACAGTTCCTCACATATAGGCCAATGTATCAGATACATACTCAGAAACTGAAAAGATAAATTAGGCTGTACAATGAAATTCATCAGGAGCAGAGGAGGACCTGCATCCTTCAATACTAGCCCTCAAAGCAATTTAAACTTACCAGTTGTATTCACAAAGTGGGATTAAGCAACAGGTTCTCATGTTTCTTTTTCTTGAATGAAATAGAGTCTTGGTGACCTCAGGAGGTGAGCCGTGTTAATTGATATTGACCGAGGTCACCATGTGCCTACTTTTATAAGAAGAAGGGGAAGCAAGGGTTGCATGAGGTCCTGGGAAATCCTAGCTACATGCTTTAATACTGTGGCAGAGTTGTTTCCCTCACTGAGGTCTCTCCTGAGTAGCAATAGTTCTCAACGCTTACGGCCTCCTGTGGAGCTTCTAATCAATACTGATGCTTGTGCTGTACTCTGAGCAAATCAGAATTTAAATCAGAATTTTCCTATATAATCCTAATATGCTGCCTGGCTGAAGGGCACTAAATTTATGGGTTGAATTCAACATTCATTCATTTCTGAAGAGAGCAGGTGAATGTAACTTACAGGGCAGCTGGTGGATTTTTCTACATCTAGCCTGGTTGCTTGCCTGAGAAATTCAACATTTTAAGCAGAGATGGTTCCAAACACTTATTAATGGATCTGCTGAAATATTAATTTTAATCCTAAGGAGGGCTGCTGCTAGTAAAACAAATATAATTCATAGCTTTTTTTTTTGGCATCTCATTCACTTGGTGAATTCAGATTCACACCTTTGACCGTTCACCCATACAATGGACAACTGGCGAGAGAAAACTCAAGTTATGTGTTCAGTTAACAGCTGATCTGGATTCTGGCAGTTTCTTCAAGCTGCTCTGGAGACTGCTGTGTTCTGTCACGGGGGGGTTTTCAGCCAAAGATGTTAATTACAGCTCATTAGGAGAGTCAGAATGGGCTGTCTGTTTTGCTTCCACCTTCACTCTCTTGCAGCTCCATTAGTTTTACAGTCACACAGTCTCGGCAGCCAGTTCCTGACTCTAACTTTTGTTTGCTTACCTTTCTGCTCCTGTCTGCCAGCTTCGCCCCAGCGGAAGTATGGGTGCCGCTCAACAGCTCACCGCGCGTGCGCAGCGCTCCGGCCCTCCCCCTCCTGCACTATTTCCCAAACTTAGGACCCCATTCTGCCATTCTTGCTCCTGTTGCTCGCTTGCCGACCTCCTTATCTATCCTGACACTCATCTGTTCTGATGTCCCTTTCTCAAGCCCCAGTTCTGTGTCTATTCCCTCCCTTTACCTCTACCCACCTCTGCTAGCCTCCATTCACTCAGGAGACCATTATCAATTTCTATCAGATTATGTGAAAAAAGGTTGGTTTTCCTTTCCTAAAAGTTATTTTAATTGAGCTCTGGTTTTTGCCATTGCTGTGAAGGCCTTTAATATCTATGCCTGCCCACGTTTTGGTAAAGTAACCCACTGGCAGATAAATGGAAAATTCTCTATCGTGTAACTAGAGTATAATGTAAAATTACATATACTCAGAGAACACTGGGGCTGCACGGAGCAATCAGCATGCAAAATATAACCTGCAATTATAAGTAATAATAATTACATATAGGAGTATTTAATTTTTCATGTCTTATAAAATACAGCAAGGAAAATAAACCTGAAGCTGAAGTGTTAGGTCTGTAAGAAGTTACATCAACCTTAATAAGCATCAGTTTTTGGATTATTGAAACTTCTAATAAAAAGCCTAAATCAATGAACACTTCTGCAGACTAAGTACTATTTTCTGCCCTTCTGAGCATCATTTCTGTCTACTGTACGGCTATATCAAACTCAGGCTTGTGGATAGATTTGAGGAGCTCTGGTCAGACATTTTATCAGGAATGTAATGTGCAGTCTGGCTGAGAGAGGCAAAGGCATGCCTTTGTAGCTCAGATATTGTATATCTGAATTCCAAAACATATTCAATTATGTATAATTGGAATTAATGGCTTTCAAGGAGCTTGAAGGAGCAAGGACATTTGACCATTTAAATTTCTGAGTAGTGAGCATTCACATAATAATCAGAATATGAACCATCATAAAGTAAACCCTTTTTATTTACAGTGATGCAACAAAGTCTGTGTGTCTTTGACTAGATGGATAACTAATAGAATTGGAAATACAGCTTAGGAAAGTTAAAGAATAACCTTTCCAAGGCAAGCTATGGCCCAACATGAATATTAAATAAACCTATTTAAAAGTAAAAAAAAAACCCTCATGTTTTTATAGAAGATTTTCTTAAGCCAGGAAAACAAGGCAAAACCGGGTCCCTTTTGGTACTTGATATAAGGTGAGAACAGTATTGTTTTATTTTGTTTTGTTTTCCCTGCAGGGGTAGACAGATAACAGGGCAGTCTCAGATTCTCAACAGGGACTCTCCTCCAGATAACTGAAAGAAGCACACTCCTCTTTATCCAATTCTCAATCACTCTAAAAGGGGTGTCTTGATTTTTGCTTTGTTGTGATATTAAAGGTCAGTTTAAGGTAGAATAATAGAAGTCCTACAGCCTGTTGATTTATTGCATCATTAAACTATCAGCTCTTGAATGGAAAATGATCATTCACATTTTATTCAGAAGTCTCTGATTATTGGAATTCTTAATAAAAATTCTCTGCCTTCCAGAAACAATTTTCAATGC